TAGTGACAAAAATCTATTGTGGAAGATGCCCTGGAAATCAATGACTTTTGCCTTAAAATGAGTAAGACACACAAAGGATAAGGAGAAAACTATTTAAATAAGCTCTATGGCTTACAGCTGAAATATTAGTGATTCCATGAGAAGTGCAACTCACTTTACTCTTAGGGAAGGTCACAAATCACTTTCCACTCTCTGACTCTGACTTGTTTTACTCTCCAAAAGGACAAATAGTATGCATTTTCATAAACAATTTTAGATCCTTCCACAGTTCACTCTTCCTCCTAAAAATTAATATTCACCCATTCTTATAGAAATGTTCACCAAGAAATCCTAACATCAGGTCACCAGCAAGACTTTGACCTCTCCAACATGAAAGAATCTGAGGCGTAATATAACCCTAGAACGGTGAACACCAGAATGAGTCTAAAATCAAATTTGTTCTTGTTCTAGTTATGATTGTCCAATAGTTTGATTTTGCTATGTTGGAAAAGAAAAAGGAAAAAGACTAGTAAAGAGAGAAAAATTTCTTAAGGGAAAAAAGAAAGAAGCAAAAAAGACAATGAATTTATTATCTTTAAGCCACAATAAGTGTAGGCAAGTAGACAAGCTGCCGTTTTGAAACACCAGCACCTACAGAGTACCAGGTCTACTCCACTATCCGTCCTCCCACAGCCCCAAAGATAAATTGAGGTGAAAATAAATGTTAGTTAAACAAAAGTGCAATCAGGTGTAGGATTAGGTTAAGAACTGAAGCATGGGATTCCAAACTGTAGGGCTTCAAAAATGCAATGCACTGTTGTCCATCGACCTGGGATAGAATTGTTCCCCTGAAGTCCTTCTCATGATTCTTATGTTGTATGAAGTGAGTTTTACTCAGATGTAAGTAGATATGCAAATAGCTATATGGTGCTTTTCCGGTTTGTCATCATAATCAAAATATGTAACAGAGAGATATTGGCAAGGTTAAAATTCAGGCCATGTAATTTTTGCTTTCCTTTTTCTACCTCAGTAGCCCGCTGCCTTCCAGGTCAACTCATCACACAGCTCCAGCATCACTTTTCCCATGAATCCCCCTGAATTCCCAGCTAGAAGACCCATAATTTTCTTCCTGTTACTAATATATCTTTACATACCATTCTTATTACAGTTTGTCATGACACTTATAGATTTATATGTCTTCTCACTAGTCTGTGATTTCCCTTAGATCATGAACTCCCTTTTCTACCTTTGGCAACCCCTGCCACAGAGTAGGCACTCAATAAATGCCTGGATATTGCAAGGATTACCTGATACCACTTTCCTTAGCACTCCACACCTAATCACTATGGAGCCTGTGGATCTTTCCAACCATTGCAATTCAGCGGAGCCTTTCCCAGAATACATGAGATATATCCTCCCCCTTTCATTCTCTTCTCAACCCCCATATCAACAAACAAGCCTGTGCCTACTCAACTCTTGATTCTCATCAAATGGTCTTCATTATGGTTTTATCCACTGAAAGAAACACATTTCTTTCCTGTTGTACAACTGTGAATCAAGAAGTTCACAATCCAGTGGAAGATGTGCTTCGCCATTCCAAACATTATTTACTGAGCATATATTGCGTGTCTAGGTTGGGCGCTAATTGTAGGGCATCTTCTTCCCCCAGTGGGAAGTGCCGCTCCCTGGCACCCTTTCCTCCAGGCCAAGATCCCTTTGAACTTCAGTCTCCCAGCCTCATGAGCTCCAGAACGACTAAGATTGAGAGATTGGGGTAAGAATTTTTCAATGTGTCTCTCACGGATACTCAAAAGAGTTCCTTAAATACATATGTTTAATTTCAAAAAAAAAACAATCTAATGATTCATGACTAATAGTAATCTCTAGCCCGCCCCCATCAAGCTCTCCCTCTGAGTGTGGGCAGTTCCCTCTGTTCGTGGTTGCACTCCTCTCTACAAGGCCAATTACAATGAGTAGTAGGACCACAGCTTCCAGTTGCTCAGGACCAGCCCCGTTGTCTTGAGGTAATTACTGATAGTATCTTCTTTTATCCTCAAACGTGTTCTAGTTCGGTCAATAAAGTACATGGCCACCCTCGGTATAACTGCCGAACTGGGGTTGGAAGAGGCTTTACAGCCACCTCCAACATTACGACTCTGTAATTTACTGCTTAAACATACAGCCCATGAGGAGAAAATCCATAACCTCCACCTTAGGGGAAAAAAACATCTTTTCAGTCAGACAGTTATGGGAGTAACTAACATGTTTCTTATGTTGGGAGGATGTACTTTTGACCTTGCTATAAAACCAGCTGAACAACGGAACCCACCCAGCTGCTTCGTTACTGGCATGAGGAAAATGTATTCAGGAGAGGTCATTTCAACTAAAAGAAATCTGTGTATGAAATAGCTATTATCTCTATTAATTATATCTCCAGTGACCTACTTACGGGGGGAAAAAAAGCTTTCCACCAAAAGTCAACCCAATGTCTCTTTTAAGGATGTAATTAAACATATAAAAGAAATTTCATTGTTTTAAGACAAAAATAAAGGCAAATAAGCTCTCTCTTTTCGAGTCTGTCAACACTGGGATGCATTTGCTGTGTTCACAACAAGGGTGAGTCCCGGAAGGTGTGGGGAAGCAAAGGAGAACGATTCGGGCCTTATTCTCATCTCACCCCAGTGACACAGACGTGTGCTGGGGGCCTTTTCCTTGAGTGATGGAGAAGGCGGTTTGGCAAATCATTACAGCCAGGCACTCCATCTGGGGTTGACTTGTTTTTTTTTTTCTTGGAACTATCAGGCCTGTTTTTGCTGGAATCCCTGATTTTTAACTAATTAACTGTGTGACCTTAGACAAATGACTTAAACTCTGAACCTCACTTTCCTCATCCATTAAGTAAACAGAATAGTACCAGTCCCATTATCATTTGTTGTGAAAATTAAAATCACTCTAATCCTAGAAAGCAGTATTCAAATATTAATTGTTATTACAAGTGCTAGGGAGATCACCACAAAAGTGCAGAGGAAGAACGGAATGCAATGGTGTGGAAGATTGAGTGTATTTGATAGACAAGATTAGCGACAGGAATTGTAACCTTTTTGAGCCCAGGAACTTGGTGGCATTTCTGACAATAATGAGGACGTTAGGAAGTAGTGTCTGTGTTAGTTTCCTAGGCTGCTGTAATAAATTACCATGAACTGGGTGGCTTATAATAGAAAGTTATTCTCTCCCTGCGGCTCTGGGGGAAAAATCTATTCCTTGCATCCCCCCCTTCCTTCCCGGTGGTTGCTGACAATCCAGGACGTAGCCTGATCTATGACAACAGAACTCTAATACGAGCCCTTGTCTTCACGTGGCCATCATTCCTCCAAGTGTGTCTGTGCCCAAATTTCACTCATCTTCTACGGACACCAGTCATATTGGAGTCAGGGCCCACCCTAATCCAAGAGGACTGCATCTTGACTTGATTACATGTGCAGAGACCTGTTGGGAACTGCCCTGCCTGGTTTTAGGAGCTGTAACCCCCTCATGGCTAAGGCTGAGTGAGTGAACTTCGGATCATGAGCCACTAAGGAGACAAAGCTTAACTCCCTGGCATGAGCACTGCTTATGCTTCTTTTACTTCATCCATAACTGGCCCCCAATGCTTGATTGGTTAGCCAGTGACAGCTAAGATTCCCCAAGGGGGGAATGACCTAAGACAGGCATGATCATGGGGAGGCCTCAGGGAAGGACTTGGGGGGCTACAGCAAAAGGGGGTGATGGACCCTCACCCCTCAGCTTTGACATTGCCTGAGTCCTCATTCTGTCTGTGAGAAGTCTCCTAATCTCCTAGTTGCCTTACTACCTCTGCCTGACTTAAGCCTAAAACAATGACAGAGGGTGGTACAGCCCTGTGCTGGTTCCTGGGGTGATCGGGCCTAAGAAAGAGTATGTAAAATCCTGTGAAGCCTGTTTTGCTAAGAATGCTCTTAGTTAAATAATGAAGGCCCCAGCAGGAAATGAGTTTGTTTCCCAAGGTTTTATAACCCTTTAGCTAACAGACCCTGACTCAGAATAGGCCCTAATAGTTCTTTGTATGCTATCTACTGTTTGATCCTTACTGCCTGAGAATGATTAATGAGCTTTACCTATATTCCTGTGCTAATTAAACCCAATAAAAGCCTATCTAGGCAAGGGTTGGCATGCTCTCCCCTTGAGAGGGTAGCCGTACTGTCCCTTTTCCTCCACGGGAGTTGGTTGTCCATGTATATTTGTCTCATATCTCATCTATGATGCCACAGACACTGCGGGCCAGTGTCCGCATCAGAGACCCTGTTCCAAATAAGCTCACATTCACAGGTGCCAAATTTATCACAAATTGGGGGGCACGCTAGTCAACCCAGGAATGTTTGGGAAAGGGAACTGCATTGTCAACCCTCAGAGAAAGTTGATATCACAATTTTGGTAGGATTTTTACAAACATAAGAAGAATAAAAGGGGATTCCTACACATTTTCTGAATATAATGAACATTTTAAACCTCCAGTACGAGGGGCAAGGGCTCTTCACTCTTTCCACTTGTCTTAACCACCATTTGGACTGTTTCTCAGATGCCAAAGAATTTTCTCTTTGGAACTTTCCCCCTCACATTTTCTATGGGAGGAAACGTCCTCGACTAAAGTTACTTTACATAGGGACTATAGTCAATAATATAATATCTTTGTATGGTGTCGGGTGGGTACTATACTTATTGGGTTGATCACTTTGTAAGTTATATAAATGTCTCCTCACTATGTTGTACACCTGAAGCTATATATAATAAGGTCTGTCCAATGTAATTAAAAAACAAAAAGGTTTTGTAAAAAATAAAGTTATTTTGGGGGAGTAAATGTGGGTGAGCTCATTATGTTTTGGCTTCAGCATGGCAACATCAATTTAATTCCATCAGCAGCAATCCCGGAAGTATGCACTCTAGGATACCATTCCCATTTTATTTGGTCAGAATATTGTTCAACATTTTCATTTTTTAATTTTTTTCAGGGGAGAGCACAAACACAGTCCCTCACTTCCACAAATTATGCAGTCAAGTCTCCCACATTTGGGGAAATCACAGGGGTCAACATGTCCGGAGTGCAATAGATAAGCTGTACCCTAGGAAAACCACCTTCGTGATCATGGTATCTCCCCTGCCAGGTAAGTAGCAACATTCTTATTTTTAATTGTAATTTTCTGGTTTTCTAATTCCACACAAACCCTCCCGCATTCTACCCCTAGTGCCCACTGTGCGTAGGAAATGGTGGCAGCAAGAAGACACCAGCCAGGGGCTTCTGTTTGTATTACTACCCATGCCCTGGCTTTGTGAAGGGCTTGCCTGGTTCGATACACACTCAGGGTTAAAGAGATCAATCTCAATCACAAAATTTTCTTATTTACCTAGCACATACCTTCCTAGCCTGGGTATATTTGGTATAGATCTACCCAATAGAGAAAATCTGACTTTTAAGTTATTTGCTGAAAGGAAGACAGACTAAAACAGAGAGTACTTGTTTTCACCCAGGGTCTTTAAGAACTGAAGAAAACTTTGAAAGCACATTAAGAATGGTATATGTTATTTGCTGAATAGGTGAGGATTCTTCTGAGCTAGCCAGTATTTCTGAACCCAGGACAATTGGGAGTGATGTCACGTGATCACATTAAACATCCACCCTGTAATAACCATTATCACAGGGCACATTGAGGTGCCAGACATATACATTATTATAACATGGATTTAAGTTAAGGACTACAGTGTGAAATCAGTTTGATAATACTACTTAAAATGCATTTAAAATATCTTCAAAGTAGCCATTAACACTTCATATGCTCTCCTATCATCCAACTATTCTCTACACTTTGAAATCCAAACAGAATCTAATGGGAGATGAAAATGAGATGATCTTGGAAGGATTTTCCCAAAGTCTGATTGTCCACAGGAGAAATAAGATTGGTTATGAGCTACGGTGTGCTTATTTAAATTGTCACTCTCATATTCACTCCCATACACTGGAAACTTGGTTATATTAGGTCTAGAGATCCAATTTGAGACTTTTCCCTTACTGGTTATGATACTGTGGGTCTAATTCCCATTTTTAAAGCCTTCAGGGAAATGAAAATTCAGCTCCAATTTTCCTGATGAAAACAGTAAATATTTTCATGCAGTCTGCTTAGTCTTCACTTGCTCCTGCTCCATCCCAACATATGTGGATTAATTTTTTCCATTATAGACTTAAGGAAAAAAATTCAACCTTTTTGGCAGACTAGCTAAGAATTTTCATTATACTTTATGCAGAACTTAATGTGTCTGCCAATCAACCAGAACTGAAATCAAGAATCCCTGGCTAACGATCTTTGATGGTTTGATGTACCTTCTCTAGCTGTCATTATCTTCCTCGTCCTCCTCATTCCAAATTCTGAATCTCTTTGCATTCCTGGATGATTTAGTTTCCATTTGTCTACTGATATATTTACCATCCAAACTCTGTCCTGCAGATAAACAGGGTCTTTAACTTTCTTCATCAGATTGTGATATCTGGCAACCACTGGCTGATATAAACTCACCCTCCATCCACCCTTGCCCCCTTTCTCCATGAAGTACATGTGTGGCAGAAACAAGACTCATCAAGAGACGACAATAACTGGGATTTCATTATAGACATACACACACACTTAGCCACCCACCCTCCAAGTGACTTCAAATCACTAGGCGATCAGGTACTGAAGCGCCTTCCAGACTGAAGCTGAAGTCCTCTTTCATGGAGCCTCCCCTGCTCCCCTGCTCCTAAAGTCTGGTCATTTCAGCCGCCCCCAAGAGAGAACAAACTTAGAAATGAAGGGGAGGGACTATTCTCTTACTAGATCTGAATGGCATCTTTGGGAAAACAAGAAACCATAATAGGGGATGAGTGGAGGTAGAAGAGGGTACAGGCGGGGAAATGGTAATGGGAAAAATCCAATAAAAAAGAAGCAATAATAAAAGTGTGGCATGTTTTTTGTTTTTCTTAAAAAAACAACCATTTTCCTTTTCTTGGTTTATCTGGTAGGAAATAGCTGCTGTAACTTTAGAGTGTCAATATTTGCAATACAGCCTTAATATAAAGAAATTCCATAAAAGCAGTCAAGTAGTTCCAACAAGTTGTAAAATGAAATAGAAGAAACTTAGATTCTGAGGGATTATTTATTTACATTTTGGGCTTGAGGGGGCTTATTTTGGTGGGAAATTGGTGGAGGAAAGTGCAGGAAATGGGGCGGCTTTGAGAGATGGAGAAATGAGCACATCTCCCGTTGCCCTGGTAATGACGTTGGCCTGCTGGAAAAGCAAGTCCCAAGAGAAAAGGTTCATCAAAATCCTAAAATGGCTTTACAGAAGCTACCAATTCTCACACATCATTCATAGGAGCCGCATAAATATTTACCATTAATGCAATGGTGAGATTTCAGTTGTTAGTACTGCTCTTTGTTTCTCTGCCTCCAGATCAACTCTTGGATATTGCAAGCCACTTAACATTAACTTTGTACCTCTGAGACAAGGCAATAGATTGGGAGTGAGTAAGAAGCTGTGTGCCAGAGACCACACCTACCACCTTCACAAATGTCATCTCAGTAAGTAGTATTGAGACTAGACTTTAACCAAATAGGGGAAAAGAAAGAGATCTGTATGGCATACCAAAGTTAATCCCAGATGAGTTAAAAATCTACATGCAAAAAAATTTAAATGATCAATATACTTCAAGAAAGGAAGGTGACTATTTGTCAAATATTGCATTGGGGAAATTCAGACTATTTTAATATAAACAAGATGTAAAATAGACCATGAAAAAAAGGAAGACCTAGCTAGGAAATAAGCTATCCTAACAAATAATTTATATTCTTTATTTAAAAAGCTATTGCAAATCGATTTGAAAAAGGTATCAACAGGACAAAAAAACAAACATGTCAAGTACCAAAAGACAATTCACAAAAAGAAAATACAAGTTGGCATAGGAAAATTATTTGGTCTCACTCTAGTGAAAGAATGCAAGTTAAAATGATGAGATACTGTATTTTGTTCATGAGAAGAGAAAAATGGACAAATTCCAGTATTAGTGGAAATATAAAAAAACAGAAAACCATTCCAATTTATTCTTGCAGCCCCTATGCAAAACAATAGGAAAATAATATGACAGCTTAGACCAACATCACACAAAATGTGATGTTGTGTCAACCAGAAATTCTAGTTCTGGGATATTTAACCTAAAGAAGTCATTGGACATGTGGCAAAAGACATATGTAATGAGACAGTGACCACAGTGTGACCCACAATAACAAATAAAAAATTAAATTCACAGGGATAGAAGATGAACTCAATTTGTTATGTTAACTCTATATAATGAAAATATTATAAGTACTCATTGATGCAGATGAGTACTTACCGACATGGAATGATGTTTCTAGTACAGTGTATGAGAAAGGCATGCATAAAACCTACTTTGCCAGGATAAATTTTAAGAGGGCTCCAATTTTGCGGTCATATTCTATGTCTGCTGCTCACCCGCTGCCTAACCTTGAACCTCAATGGCCTCCTCTGGAAAATGGGGATGATTCTAGTGTAAACAATTAGAGCAGTGCTTAGCCCATAGTAAACACTCAGTAAGCGTTAGTGTACTTTAAGGTGTAAGTGATCTGGATAGCTCTTATGTCTTCATATACACACACACTTTTAACTTGAAAAAAATCACCAGATGTTAATAATGGCAATTACTGGGTAATAGGGGTAGAATGTTTTCTTATGAATAAATAGATAAACAATTTTATACCCACTCAGTTTTGAGCACATCTATCAGTTGTCAAAGATTAAAACTAAAAGCTTTTTGGATTTTTAAAAAAATTTTAGTATGAGTTTTACTGTCACAAAGAATACGGATACAGTCTGTTCTATTTCCTCCCTATTCTCAGTGTCAGAACTTCATATCCTGTAGGCTATTCTAATACTAAGTTATCCTTTTCACATAAATTAAAAAATGACATTAACTATTAATACTCTACTGAAAAAATTTCAGATCCCCAAGATAATTGTGTCAAAACATTGTCTGGCAAGACTTTTGGCCTGAAAGGTCTACATTTATAAAATGAAGAATTGAGCTGCATTATTTTGCCTTCTAAATCTTCAGAAGAATGTAAGCATTCTGTTCTAACTTGCTCACAGACATGGGGCTTACTGTCCTGTGCTGGAAGTGAAGTTGGGATCTCTTTTGTACTTGGTTTACATGTTTTTGTGGCTAACTTTTCTTTTTTTAAATGCAAATGTAAAATTGATACTTTTAAATCCATCTGACTAGGGAAAATTAAAGTCAGATAGTAACAAAATGGTGGTGAATGTGCAGGAAAGTTGAAGTTTTCATGCATTGCTGTTGGGAACAATAAATTAACACGAATGCTTTGGAGAGACTTTGGAATTATTTTAGAATAAAAATATGCATCTAGTTTTGTATTATATGGTACTGTGGAATTATTTAACTTTCTTAGATGTGATCATTGTATTGTGATTATGTAAGAGAATGACCTTGTTATTAGGAGACCGATGGTGGAATATTTAGGAGGGAGCTCTAAAATTTTAAAACATTGTTTAAAAAAAAACCCTAAACCCATATATATATATATGTAGGTGTGTATATACATGTGCATATTATATCTATCTATCTATCTATCTATCTATCTATCTATCTATCTATCTATCTATCTATCTAGAGCAAGAATGACCAAGATTGAATATTTGTGTCCCCACCTCCCATTTCATATGCTGAAACCTAGTCCTGGAGGTGACAATGTTAGAAGGTGGAGCCTTTCAGAGGTGCTTAGGTTGCCAGGGTGAAGCTTAGGTCCTGAGCAGTGTCCTTTCAGGCTCCAGAGGGCTCAATTCCCCTTTCTGCCATGTGAGGGCGCAATGAAAAGCCAGCTGTGTAAGAACTAGGAAGCAGGCTCTCACCAGACACAGAACTTTCTGGCACCTTTATCTTGGACTTCCCAGCATCCAGAACAATGAGAAATAAATTGGTTGTTCATAAGCCACCAATTCTATGGTATTCTGATATAGCAGTATTCTGATACGGTATTCTGAACAGAGAGAGAAAAGGAGAAAGAGGGGTGGGGGAGGGGGGAGGGAAGGGAAGAGGGGAAAAGAATATAC